ACCTTGTTCGGCATAAACAAGTCTGGGACTTTGAAGCCGAGGCTCGGGCAGACCCACCGCGTGCCGCTGCAGCCACCCAAACAAGTGTCGGCAGCGTGAGGTCAATGTTTTGGACAGTCTCGGGGTGAGCTTATCCGTGGCTGCTGCCTCACAGTCATTTGCGGTTGGGCCCAGAGCACAAACAGTGCAGCGAGAGAGAGGAACCGGCCCGCTCGGGGTGGAGACTCCAGAAGGAAAATCCACCTCGAGAAACGATCGTCCGCTGCGGAAGGCGGGCTCCTTCCTGTGCTGCGGAGGGACCCAAGGCCGAGGCAACGGGGCAGGTGTGGGGCAGGGAGGAAGCTCTTCCTCCCAGTGAAAGGGCATTTGCCCCTGGATATGGCTTGGTGGAGCCTCCCTGCCTGCTTTCCGCTTTACCTCCCTTTTCGACAGACTTAACAGGGACAAGAGAGAATTCTGTGCGTCCTGCTCGGAAAGGAAGCCGCCTCACTTGCTTGCTGGCTCTCTTCTGAGTCATCCATGACTGAAGCCCTTCCCTGAATTTTACGGTGCTGTTCTCAGCCCCAGAGCTGCCTGGAAAATGCACGTGAGGAGAGATCCCATATGGAACCTCCTGTACTTTCGGCCACTTTAGGCTGACGCATAAATCGAACAGACACGTCTGTGGCAGGTTGAAGGTGTGCAAAACTCGCCTTGACCAGACAAGACACCATTGCTGCGCCCCATGGAACCCACCGAGGGATCGCCCCTGCTCCCCACCCCGTGCCAAACGTGGAATCGGCTGGGCTTCCCCTCTGATGCCATCGTGTACCAACCTGCTTTCTTTAACTCCAGGAAAAACCAGCTCTTCTCCTGAATTTTGGTTCAAATGCATGCATTTCAGACTGTTAGAATGGAGAAAACGCAGCCGACAAACTGGGACACCAGCAAATGACCAGTGCTTGGGGGAGGGATGGGGCCGGGGAAGGAGTCGTGGCCCCCCGGGAGCCCCAGAAGGCTGGATCTGGCCCATGTGGCTGAGCCTCACCCCCCTGGCCTAGAGGGAGCCCTTTTCAGTCGCGAAAGATTCTGGCCGTTAGGGTGCTCAGAGCGGGGGGCTCGGCATCCTTTCCTGGCCTGCCTGTACCGTACGGGCTTCCTTGAATCATGCGGCCTTTGTGGCACGCCGGATTCTCTCTGCTGGCCTTTCCTTTCACTCGCATTCACTGCACACGGAGGATTTTCCCCCTGTCGCTTTCATTGCTCCATCACTAGCTGCTTTGATCTTTTGCCATGAAAGGCAGGGTTCAAATGTTAAAAATATCAGAAATGATGCACAAAATCCCCTTCTCCGCAAGCAAAACAAAGAAATCCACTACAGACGCAAACGTGTTCGGATTTCTGTGGATCCAACCTCTGGATTGCATGGGAGGCTGGTCTTTTCTGAGTTACAAAGTTTCTGCAGACGCGGTTTGAGTGCCATTTAGATGGTGTGCTGTGCTTTATGTTAACTTATTATGTGTCCCAGGCTCTTTGTAAGGGTGGATATTCATCCATCCATCCATCGATCCCTCCCTCCCTCCCTCCAATGAATACACGTATTTTGACAAGTTTCAACTGCCAGACTACAGTACAACATCTGGAAGTGTTTGAACCCTGGCCGGCATCTACGTTCCAACCTCCCCATTTCCCCAAGAGGTCTGAGAGTCCAATCATGTGGTGCTTCTTGGAATTAGCCAAGACTGAATTCCTTTCGGCTCCCGAAGGGACCGGTGTGAAGTGCTGTCGGGGCTTTTGCGCGTCGGCTGTCGGCCTGGCCAGTCGGTGAGCCGCACACCCCCCTGGCCTGGCCCAGCGTGTCAGACCTTAGCAGCGCTCAGCGCTGCACGTGGCCGTGGCGGTTTAGCAACAAAGCCAAGCAGTTTGAACAGCAAAACGGGGGGAGATTTTTGGAGGCATCGCTAGAGGCCTCCAGAGAGGGGACAGTCCAGCAGGGAGCAGAGAGGGGCTGCTTGTTTTCTGTTTACTAAACGAGGCTGTTGTTTTCCCCTCACGAATCCCCTCTGTGGTTGAGCCGCCCCGGCAGGTAAGCACCACTTAGCGGGCTTGTTTTGCAAAGTGCTGCAGCCGCCTGGGCAAATCCCCCCAGTCATCAGGATGAAGCACTGTCCTCGCCCGCCCGCCCGGCTCAAAACAAGGACCCGCTCGCATTTCAGGGCACGGCTGCTGGCTGTCGAGGCTTGTTTGCCTCGGAGTGGGGCGGACCCCATGTCTGCGACGGCTCCTGGGGGGATTCTGCGGTGGAGGGCGAAGGGCAGCAGCCATTTCCCAGCACGGAGATAGTCTGGGGGGCTGGGAGAGAGGGGGCAGCGCTTAAGCTGGGCGCCGTTCCACACCTGGCATGAAAAGCGCCCTTGTGCCTCTTTCCCACCCCGCGAGCAAGTGTGCCATTGATGTGGGAAAGAAAGCTGGGGAGGGCCGCCTTGGGATCAGGCGTGAGCCCCGCTCAGGCATTGGGGCAAGTGACCCGCTCTCCAGTGTCCAGGTGTGGCTGCCCCCATGAGCATCTATCTATCTATCTATCTATCTATCTATCTATCTATCTATCTATCTAAAACTTTTCTGTACCGTCCCATCACAGACGTCTCGGGATGGCTTACAACACCATTAATAAAATAAAATAAAAACAGAAGCAAGACTGGGAGTAGCACAGCATCCAATGTGGTGTAAAACCACAAGTTAAAACAATTTAACAATTAAATTACTGGGAGAATAAAAAGGGCTTTGCCTGATGCCGGAAGGAAAGCAGCGTTGGCACCAGGCAAACCTCTTTGGGAAGCATGTTCCACAGTCGGGGTGCCACCCCCTGACACTTTCAAGGACGGCTCCCGGAGCGGGGCTTCTGCCTCAGATCTCAAGGGGCGGGGGTGGGGGACACAGGGAAGGAGGCGCTCCTTCGGGGATCTGATTGACCCGATCGGGGCCCATGCCTGCCGTGGGCAGCTGCGCATGTGTGGCCACCCATGTGCTGTGGGGCCTGGCTGGTGCAGGTGCGCATGCGAAGCGCAGCTGGTTGAGTGGAGCCGGTTCCCCGACCCGCTTCTCCGGGTGCCTGAGGAGGGCTTCCGATTCAGGCCAGTCTGGGTAGGAAGTCTGATTCACAGCTGTGGGGAGCCCAAAACTGGGGTGAGGGGCCAGCCTGAGATTTTGCAGCCTGGCACATGGAATTCATTTCAAATTTAGCCCCTTGAACATCCAGGATGGAGCCTGGCCCTTTCGAAAAGCACCACCGCAGTTTTGCTTTTGGTTCTTACATTTGCTGTTAATTTGAGCGGCATCTTCCATTGTGGATTATTTTGAAAATCGAGGAAGAGCCTGAGAGCTCTCCTGCAGCAGTCCGGGTCTGACTCGCAACTCAGCCATGCAGTCCAATGGGCACACCCCCAATGCCTGCCCGTGCCCCGAGATACTCCATGAAGCCCTTTCCCCAAGTGCCCCCCACCCCGTCAGTGGGCCAGAGGGAGCTCCTGGACAGGGGGCTTTCCACAATGCCCCTCTGGCTACCAGCAGCAAAGCACGGTTGCCGGCAGGTGTGCTTGGCCCCAGCTCGGCTTCCTTTCTTCTCCAGGCCTTGTGAACCTTTTGCCGTGTGACTTCCCCCGACATACTAGGATTTTAACTCCTTCTATTATTTCTAGCCCAAACCATGTCAGGATAACGCTTCTTGTGCCGTGTCATCTCGGGCTGGCTTTGTGCTGTATTTCAATCATGTTGACTTTTGCATCTGCTTCTGTGCATTATTGTGTTGGTTTTATCGTGCTATTTTATGATGATGTGGTTTTTGCCCTTTATACTGTGTTTGTTCGTTTTACTGCATGGCACATAGATAACTTGTTTTGTAGGCACTGGCATCTTTTAAATGCAACAAAACCAAAGTGATTTATATCACGGTCTGGTCCAAGTGCCGCACCCATCGTCAGTCACAGGGAGAGTGACACGCATTTGTTTTGTTTCTCTCAATATTTTTAAAGGGCTTTTTGTTGGTGCTCCGAACACCGGCTTTCATCTCTTAATTATGGTGCGGTTTTCAGTAAGGAAAAGATGTGGCGCAGGGCACTCAGCACGGGTGTCTAACGTTGGACTAAAAAGTGGAACTGAAGAATGAAGGCTGAAAAACCTCAAGCAGCTCTTTGAAATATTTAAAGTATGTGGGACTCCTAAAAGAGGCGATGGAATGTTTTTCCTGACACCTAAAGGCACTTCTTTGTCAAAAGACTTCTCCTTCCCCTTCCCCTTCCATAAATGGGGCCCTGCAGGTGCAAGGCCAGGGCCGGCCGGCCTCGCCTGGGAGGGTGGGGGCACCCAGAGGACTCCCCGGGCGACCCGGGGAGCGCCAAGCTGACCCGGCTGCCGCGAGGCGCCCCAGAGCAGTGGGGAAAAGAGGGGGCGCCATCTCAGCTGCATCGCGACGAGCGGCACAGACCCGAGAGCAAGAAGGGGCGCCTGCAGCTCGGCTGGGGCCCTGCCTGAATGCCGGCACGGGGCAGGGTGGATCCCGGAGTGGATGCGTCACTGGGCCAGAGAGTGCCTTATGCGCAAGAGGTGCTGCCCTGTGACAGGCTCGGGAAAGATGCCGAGGAAAGGCTCTGTGCCGGCTCAGTGCATTTCCAGAGACTCGCTGCACTAAAAAACCAGGCAGACGGACAAGATCCACCGGGGCTTGGCCGCAGGCGCTCGGTGGTGCCGGATGTTCCAAGGGAGCCCGGCCGTGCGCGCAAACTCAAGCGAAACCACCAGGGGGCTCTCCCAGAACGCCGGTTTAAATAGAGCCAGAGGTGCTCCGTTCGGCAGTCCTGCAGGTGGCTTCTCAGCCCAGCAAGCAGCCGCGAAACCTCTTGGATTACAAAAGTCGAAAGGGACCGGCAGTTGCTCTCCTTGCTTCAGCTGCCTGTGCGCCAGAAGGCTCCCGCCGCGAAGCCGCTTCTTCGCATCCTCCCGAGAGCTCCATCCACCGTGCCGAGATGGCCAGCGGAGGCCTCCAGATGCTGGGCTTCATCCTGGCGTTCATCGGCTGGATCGGCACCGTGGTCAGCACAGCCATGCCGCAGTGGAAGATCTCCTCGTACGCCGGGGACAACATCGTGACGGCCCAGGCCATCTACGAGGGCCTCTGGATGTCCTGCGTCATGCAAAGCACGGGCCAGATGCAGTGCAAGGTCTACGACTCCCTGCTCAAGCTGGAGGGTGAGTGGCGCTTCGGCAGATGTGCGTCGCTCTCGACCAATACAGGAGAGCAAGAGAGAGGAAGGGCTTGCAGGCAGGGCTCCCCTCGGGCTGGGCACCGTCGCCCTTCAGGTTCTCTCAAAGGCTCCATTATCTTGTGCTCCTAAATGACAGCCCTGGGAGGCAGGCCACTCATCTTCCCTCTTCACCAGTGGGGCTGGAGGTTGGTAACTCACACCAGGCTTCCCAGGAGCCTACGGAGGAGGCAGGGCGGGACTCTGGTCTCCGGCATCCGGACCCCACTCTGCCCCTGCTCCCCATTGTAGCACTCCGGGGGGCTAGAAAATGATCACCGGGACGTATGAGGAGGCGCAGTGCCCATGCAGGATGCCAATTCCACCGCTGTCCAAGCTACGCCTCAGGGGTGGGGCCCCTGGTGACACAGTTTCTGCATCCCTGGTTTGGTGGTCAGGGTCCCCAGTGGAGAATTCTGTCCAAGCTGGGCCAGTCCATCCAAGGCACGTCGGAGCTATTTTGGATCTTTTTGACGGGTGCCTAAAAGCAGTCCATAAAACAGATATAAATCCAGCAGCCCCCCCTCCCCATCTCTCTGCTTCCTCTCCCTTGTGTAATCTGGCGCTCTGCATGCCAGGTTCTTAACCTGCACAGCTGAGAAACAGCCCCCTGGGAGAGACAGCCTTCTGTGTGGGTTAGAATTGGGCGACCCTGGAGAGGTGACGTGCACTGGCACGGGGGATCCGGGAAGCCTGGTTGGTGGCATTAGGTAACCGTTGGCCTCCAAGGGGATTTCACCTGCCACACTTGGCAGCTTCAGAATCATCAGGAACATTCAAACTCTGGAAGACCAGGGCGTGCGGAACATTTCAAATGCGTTTGATCTCAGGTTTTTTTCTGTCTAACTTCTTTCTCAACTTTGTCATCTGCCTGTCTAACATCTTTTGTTTCGACTCCAAAGAGCCAAATTTTTATGTATTCATGGGGAGGCTTTTTGCCTTTCCTGAGTTTGGTTCAGGTGACGTGAGCAGCAATCAGAGTTGCAAAGATGGCTCTGCCGAAACGTTTGCACCCCAAATGCCAGCTTCCATTTTAGATCCCTGCTTCTGGGGTGTTTCTGAGCCTCCTTGAGTGAGTTAGGAGGTTGACGCTTCAAAGCTGAGGTTGTGGGGGTGCTCTTGAGCACGGTGACGAGACAAACCAGTCCTGATGTAACGCAGGGCGGGCCGGATGCACGGAAGGTGGCTAGGGAAGCGGAGCCAGAGTCACTGCGCAGGTGGGCACCTGCCAAGGCGCATCCTCAGGCGGGGGCTCGCCTGTCACTCTGTGGTCTCCCGTTCCCCTGTCCACCTCCTCTGGTTTTGATGCCTGTCCACCAGCCCTCTGAGCACGCAAGCCATGGCAAGAGTGTGGCCCTGGCACGGCATCCTCCACATGTGGCCCCCTCTCCTCTTGGATGGCTGTGCGGATTGGGGCCGGGGGCAAGCCAATAGGTCACCGTGGCAGTGGTCAGCTTGGGACCGCTGAAGCATCCTTCCTGAGGGCCCCACAGCCAGGAGAGGCTCTGGGGAGACACGGAAAGGTGGCCGGCCAAGCGCAGACCTGTGCAACCGGCTCTTTCTGGAGGAAGGAGGCAGAGCGTCTAGTGAGGCGCCAACGCAATGAGCAAAGAACAGACTCTGGAGCTCAGCGGGATTTCCTGGCACCGTTCTCACGCCGTTCCTAGAGGAACAGGTCGGCTGGCTTTGTTGTTTACGCCAAGGAGAGAAGAGAAGTGTTCGCAAGCCCCTCCTCGTGGCTGCCAGGCTGAGATTAACTGGGTGCACGGACCCGTGGAGGGACACTCTTGCCTCTTGGCTGGCCCCGGGTGCAAGGAAGGGCACCAACAGGTGGAACTGGCCGTGCGCGCTCACCGCGGATGGGCAGGTGAAGTTGTGAGCATCGCTGCAGTCCAGTGTGGCCGTGTGTACTTTCTCTAGCTAGGGATGTGTGAATCAGAGAATCACAAGCGTCTTTCGGCTCTCTAAATTTCCCCCTGAAGCTCGCTCTGACGTGTGACCACCTCAGATCACATGTTTTTCTTCTTTATTGGCATGAAAGTGTGAGTATTTTTCACGTTCATGCTTCCAAACGTACATCTCTGTTAAGTGGGCTTTTGAAATGCATACATTCAAGCGTATTTTGAGCATCTTTACGAAAAACTCTACACTTGTAATCTGCACATTTCAAACCTGGGCGTGCGAGGGCTGGTTGGCATGCTGTAGGCTGCGCGGAGAGCCTTGGCTCTGGGTCAGTATGGGCATGAAATTGATGATGATGATGATGATGGCGCATGATGTCCCATGTCGTGTGTATGTGCACCGTCTTACATGGAGAAGGAGAAGGGAGCTCAAAGTTGGGAGGAAAGAGAAAATCCTTTAGTTTATCTGCGACCTGAGCTGACTGCGTTGGCCCGCTGGCACAAGCTCCGGCCAGAAAGAGCCGCTTTTCCGACGAGAGGGTGCCGTGCCCCCAGAGCCTCCGGCACGAAAAGGAGGCTCCCGGGAGCCCGTGCCGCGCCGGCTGCCTGCTTCCTGGCATCTGGCACAAAGGTGGTGCTCTGTGGGTCATGGGGTCCTTTCCGGGTGGGGTGGCACTAGCCAGGTGTCCCCAGGTGCCGGCTCCGAAGGGAGCCGTGGCCCAAGGTCTGAGCGCTTAAGGGGCTGAGCGGCACGCGTGCCAGCAGGTTCTCCTCGCGGACGCTGGGCCTGGGCCGTGCCTCGGATCACCCCCCCGGCACTTGGGGGCCGTGGCGCTCTGCCTAGCTGGCAACCGCAGTACGACGCCTTCTGTGCCACGGGGGTCCTTAAAAACCACCCGGTGGCACTGGGGCTCCCGAAAGGCTCATCCCGCAGGTCCCCCCACCCCCCCCCCGAGAAAAGGACCCCGGGCTGTAGCAGGAATGCTGCGGGGGGTGGGCGTGATTGGCCTGGGCAAGCGGGCCCCTCCGTGCCCCGGGTGGCCATCAGTGCTGTGCATTCACTCTCAGGAGCGGCCTGGCGTGATGCAGCGCCCCCCCCCCGCCCGGCTCTGTTTAGGAGGGGCAGCCTGGGCCAGGTCCCTGGCACACGATCTCCATTGGAGGTCTTTGGTGGCGGGAGCCGGAGCGTCGGGGTGAGAGAGCTGGACGCGGGAACCGGCATCTCCCCACATGCCCCGGAGCTTGCGTGGTGACTCTCCCCTTCACCCGCCCGGCGGGGTTGTTGTGAGAAGAAGCGGCGAGGTAGAGAAGCACGGGAGGCCACTCGGGCTCTCCGAGGGAGGAGAAGGCCGCCCGGAAAAGCAGGGGTCCTTTTTACAAAATGGCACGTGGAATGCGGGGTGGGGACACCTCTGCCCATGGCTGCATTTATTCGGAGCTCCCTGGGGGCCCCGTGGGGGTGAACCCATGTGCGGGAGGGAGCTCAGCACTGCGGACAACTCCTGGGCAGGGCAGAGGGAGGCCTGCAGGCGGCAGAGCCCCCCCCCCCCCCACTTGGCCGTCCGGGTTCCAGAACCTCCTGTCTCCAGGGACTGCATTTCTGGAAGACAAATCAGCCCATTTCGCAGAATCGTGGAATAGCAGAGTGGGAAGGGGCCGGGAAGGCCATCGAGTCCAACCCCTGCTGCTGCGGGACACCTGTTTACACCGCCCACTCAGATTTGGAGTGTCTCCAGCGCTGGAAGTAGAACAGGGCTCGCACCAAAGGACCTTGGCCCCATCCTGGTCCCGCTGGGGTCACAAAATCTGCCCCCGGGCTCCCCCAAGGCCATGCCCCTTCCCCTCTCCTGCCCCTCGCCTGTCTCAGTGCCATTCCCAGCTTATGCATGACTTTCCTCCATCCGAAAAGGCCGAAATGTTGCCCCCGAGGCTCAGCTTTGGGGCACAAGGGCTCTGCGTTTGGCGCCTGGCCCCACTCCCTTGCCCCCAGCCTGCCCACCACTGGGCTGCGGCCGTGAGAGTCCAGCCCCTCCCTGGCAGAGGCCTGACGCCCGGGCTGACAGCGCTCGGCGTCCTCATCCGGCCGAGCCCGCGCGGGACAGCCAAGGCCCTCGTCCCTCGCATCCGAGGCGGGGCGGAGGCCGCATCGCAGGCCGCGGCAGGGGGAGCCTTGGGCTGCGCTCCCCCACATTCGGAGCGCACAATCCGGCTGTGACCACCCTCCCCAGCCGGGTTTGGACCACGGGGGGAAGGAGGGGCTGCCTGTGAGCTCTGCGGCGTGTCAGTGCCAGGACGTTCGGGCCATTGAAAGTTCAGCCCCGCTGGGGGCAGTTAGGGGGCAGAAGCGGATGCCGAAGCACCTTCCTCGCTTGCACTTCTCCGCCATGCGGCACTCGCCGTCATGCGCTTGGGCACGGAGGTCAAGATGCTCACTTGCTTCTTCTGTTTATGCCCCAGCTTGCTTCCTTCCAAGGAACCCGAGGTGACTCTCCTCCTCCTCCTCCTCCCCTGCCCTCCCCCCGTCTTATCTTCACTACAACAGCCCTGTGAGGGAGGCTGGGCTGGGAGGGCGTGACTGGCCCGGTGTCTCCAGTGCGCTCCATGGCTGAGCGGGGACTGCATCCCAGCCCAGCACTCTTAGCCCCTGCACTTCGGCCCTCGGGGAATCTGGATCCAAGTGTGGCTGGCATTTTAATTTCCCCAGAATGTGCTCTTCTAAGGGGCTTTGTTGGGGAAGGGAATGCCCCCCGCCCCCCCGGCCAAACGGAGCTCAGGAGGTCTGCCAGGTTCTTCCTGAGAAAACGTTACAATCCCATCACTGAACACTTGAAAAATGGCTGCCTTTCCCTGTCGCAACGGGGTTGGAAAATGGCAGAGGGAATTCTTTGGCTCAGCCATGTTTCCAAGGATGCCCGAAATTCTCAGCGCCCTCTCTGGCTGAGCGCCGCCCGGCCATCCCAGCCCTCTTCTTCCTCCCACAGCAACCGCTCGGGGAAGCAAAGAGGGGATTTAGCTCTGGGCTGCAGACAGTGACTGCATTGCAAAT